ACCGACCGGGCCACCCAGGTGTCCAGGACTGCAGCATTAAAAGAAAAAAGAAACAATTTTAATATTCAACCCGATTGAGAACCACATCCTATAAATGGACCTATGAGAATTATTCTTGCCATTTCACAAATGATCAAAGTAAAGCTCAGAATGCTAATGTAATCTGACACAAAGTCTCAAATTTACAAGTAGCAGGAAATGTGAACTGGAGCCTACCATTTTTCTATCACATCACATTGCCTTTGCAAAGACTTAGAAGTCGGATGTCTTCCCTTAGCTTTGTCTGTGAGAGTCTCAAACTTATGGGCATTCAGGGATTCCATGTCCTTTTGGGGTGAAGTACTCCAAACAACATTTTGGGGTCAATGGGGTAGTATGGTCCAATGAAGGCACTGATTTTTCTGAATCCTCTCTATAGACCCCCTCTTCTCGAAGCTTTAAACTCAACTGCTCTGCTGATGGATAAATGAGCAATGTGAAGTTATATGATTCTGAAGTGAAGAGAGCTAGAAGTTAAATTTAAAGCTTTTTTTCTTTTCTGAGATCATGAATATGTTAGAGAATTAAAATAGATTAAATTAATCATCTATTATTGAATTTCAGGAAAGAGCTACATGTACTACTACACACTTGCATGTTTGATCAAAACTGTTGAGGTGAAAGAAAGGTAGGTAGGTAAATGAAAACGAAAGGGTCTAAACCCTAACATGTAAGACTGTATTCTAAATTGGCCTCCCACAGAAGTCCTAAGAGGACAGACGGATGATCTCGAAAGGCATATAAAGCACAGTCTTTTCCAAACCCATGGTGTAGAAAGTGCCAGTTCAGCCCAGGCAGGCAAAAATGAATGGGACCTCATTGGGTCAATGAGGAGGGCCGCAGAAACTCCTGGAGATGGAATCCAGGTTGCTGCCTGGCTCCATGACTTGCTAGGATGATTTCCCTGAATTTTGAGAAATGTTTTTTTGATGTGCTAGGAACATATGGGAGCAGCCTGAGTGTGCTAAGGTTCAGTCAAGTGGGCAATATTCTGAAAACTCATCATGTGAAAAGCCTTCACATCATGTGAAAAGGCCTGATGCTGCCTCCAAACAAACAAACAAACAAACAAACAAACAAACATTTCTTTTTTTTTTTTTCAAACAAACATTTCATTCAACTAGAGGAAAAATTCCTCAAAGTGAGAGAAACAATCTTAATGCTTCCTGGGGGATCCCTGGGTAGCTCAGCAGTTTGGTGCCTGTCTTCGGCCCAGGGCATGATCCTGGAGTCCCCGGATCGAGTCCCACGTCGGGCTTCTTGTATGGAGCCTGCCTCTCTGTGTCTCTCATGAATAAATAAAATCTTTTAAAAAAATGCTTCCCGGTATATCCATGGTGAGTAAATAATACATATGTTTGGTAAGTATTTGCTGACAATACAGATCATCAAGAAATGATGGTAGGGTGGTTGGATTATGTGATAACCAATAGGAGATTTTGGAAGTAAATTCTTTATGATTTTATTTATTTGAGATAGAGCGCATGAATGATGGGGAGGCGCAGAGGGAGAGGGAGACAAGCAGACTCTGTACTGAGCAGGGAGCCTGACATTGGACTCGATTCCAGGACCTCAAGATCATGACCTGAGCCTAAGGTAGATGCTTAACTGACTGAGCTACCCAGGCACCCCAAGAGTAAATTCTAACACAAATGTTTTCCTTTTTACCCCACTTTGCTATTGGTCTGGTCAGGAAGATTGCTGTTGATGGTAATTCACTAATGGAAGCTAACTTAGATGTAAACTAGTAATGATGTGAATCTTGGTTGAAAAATGGACGTTTTCTCTAGCTCTCAACCAAAAGAAGGACAACATAGTGTTTCTCCCATATGCTGGGCCAAACAGAAGCTGCCTTTTATTTTATTTTTTATTTTTAAAAAGATGTTATTTATTTATTCATAGAGACACACACACAGAGAGGCAGAGACACAGGCAGAGAGAGAAGCAGGCACCATGCAGAGAACCTGACATGGGACTCAATCCAGGGTTTCCAGGATCACGCCCTGGGCTGCAGGCGGCGCTAAACCACTGCGCCACCAGGGCTGCCCTCCAGAAGCTTCCTTTTAGAGCAGGATAGGGAGCTGTCACTTGTTTAATTGACCTGTGGAGTTAATCCATGTTGTGGCTGAAGAAAGGGAGAGGAAAATGAAAAGAGAACAAGGAAAAGGAGACAACTGAAGAGAATGTCCTACAGATATCTCAGTTAAGAAGGATAGGCAAGGCTCTTTATAAAGGATTTGTGATACTCCTGGAGTATTTTGTCATATTTTGTTAATATGAATAGATTAGCAAAAGCATGAGGGTAAGGAGAATGGATGTCCAGCTCCTCTATCACAGAGTAACAAGTAAACCAATTTAGAAAAAAAACAAACAAACAAGTAAACCAATTTAGAAACAGAGGAGGAAAAAGGAGCAGTCACGGGCCTTTCCCAAGCTCATTTCTTCCTGCAGCCTTTAGTACTGTCCTTCTGATCACCTGGAAGATTTTCCCTCCTCCCTCTGTGCTATCCAAGTCCTGTGCGTGGTCTGATATCCAAGAAAGTTCCTGTGTCTCCATGACTACTGTGGCACCTCCTATCCCCACCCTGACTGCTACAGCACATCTGCTGGGTGCCACACATTTCCTACTAGATTAAGCATATTGTCTTTGAAAGATCTTTATATGTATGTCTTATAAAACCCCTTGTAAACTCCTCGAGCACAAGGGCCATTTCTTCTGCGCTTCTGCATCTCCCACAGTGCAGATGTTCTAAGAGACGCTCTGTTTGGTCTTGCTGATTGACTGAAGAGTTCCGTTGGGCTCTCTAGTTCTTGCCAGCAAGGCAGCATACACAATAAAGTCCTTTCACTAGGAAATGACAAAGTTAAAGCTAGAGGGGCTGAGAAAGTACTCGTATAAAATTCTTTATTGTCTCAAATGCCTCTTGGTAGCCAGATTCCGGAATCCTCAGGTTTAATAGATGTGGAAATAACCTCAATGTATGAGATGGTGCTTTTTGGATTCCTATTTCACTTGGACGAAATGCGTAAACTAATAAATAAAAACGTGGGTTACATGAGTCAGGAAAAGGAAAGATTTTCTGTTATGCAGTTAACTGATACTCCCCCCAAAGTCCTTTTGTCCCTGTGTCCTATTGCTGTGAGGCTTTCATAGTGGGAATTATTGCTTTTTATATTGCTGGTGATAACAATGTCACCAGAGGAGAGGATGTGATTAGTGGAAGAAAAAGGGAGGGAGAGATTTACATTGTCTGTATTTTCCTCTGTAAATGTCCCAAAGCTTTTTTTTAAAAAAGATTTTATTTATTTATTCATAAGAGACACAGGGAGAGAGGCAGAGACATAGGCAGAGAGAGAAACAGGCTCCCTCCAGGGAGCCTGATGTGGGATTCGATCCCAGAACCCTGGGATCATGACCTGAGCTAGATAGACCCTCAACCACTGAGCCACCCAGGTGTCCCAGTCCCAAAGCTTTTTAAGGTGTAATCAATCACTTTTAGGAAAGAAAGCTGGAGTCACCCTACTTTGAATTCTAGGTTTCTCCTCCTCCTTGGGGATTGTGTGTGTGTGTGTGTGTGTGTGTGTGTGTGTGTGTGTGTGTGATGTTGAGACAGGGAAATTGAAGGGACCTCATGAAAAAAAGCTGGTTTTATTCTTTGTTCCTTTTCCTGCTTCTATTCTTGCTAGGACCTGGACTCCTGCCCTGCAACCATGGCTTATAGTAGAAATAATGCATGTCTTCCTTGTAAAGGTCAAGGAGTTAATGATTTCTTTGGAGTCTTGTGGCACGATAGATAACATCTAAGGAGTGACTGGGTGGGGTGGTCACATTTGTTTTTCAAGACCACTGGCTTCAGACACCATCAGCTCCTGACGCCAAGACCCCTGGCTCCAGGGCATAAGTGACTTATGGAGGACGCCTGAGCACTCATCTTTGTTTTGGCCAGATTCCGGATGCCTTAGAGGACTTGTACACCAGACTATCATCCTCAATAAAAACTCCAAATCCAAGCAAAGAGAGACTCATCCTCCTTTTCCTTCAGAATCTCTCAAATGCTCCATCTGTATTTGCTCTATGTCTTCAACTCTGCTCTCACTTCCTGCTGGCTTGAGTTTGATTTCTATGCTGTGTGAAGCCAAGGACCCTCTTTGTTGTCCTGCAACACCGGCTCTGGGTCTTTGACCTGGCCTTCCTACATCAGTATGCTCTTACATAATCCTATCTAAAGATACATGCAGTCTGCAACTCTTCCATCATGTCTAAATCTTTAAAGCATAAAGGTAGAAGCGCCTGGGTATCTGACTTTGGCTCAGGGCATGATCTCAGGGTCCTGGAATCAAGCCCCACATGAGACTCCCTGCTGCGCAGGGAGTCTGTTTCTCCCCCTCCCTCTGCCCCTTCCACACTCACGCTTTCTCTCTCTCTCTCTCAAATAAATAAATTAATTTAATTAAATAATAAAGTTTTAGGGTACCTTGAGGTTCATGAGAATTGTTAATCAGCATTGTTAAACTGCAGTGATGCTTCCAAGGGATCTCAAAGTGTTCACGCCTACTTGTGGTGGTGCGAGGGAAAATGATTGTGCCAGTTTGGTCTTCTTGTAACAGTCTTGTAAAGAACCTGCTCTAGAGCAAGACTAGACTTGTAGATTAAAAAAAGAAAAAAACACCCAAGCTGTTCTCTTTCCTAGACAAATGGTATTTGGGTTTCAGAGGGCTCTTTATATAGCTTGCACAGGATAATGGGTCTTTCAATATTTCTACTCTAGTAAAATTTGGAGCTCTGACCTATAATTAGTATATAACTTTTCTAGGATATGGGAAAATATGTTCAATCATCTAATGTGATGTCAATTTTCTTTAACCCTTTGTGTAAATGGTGCACATTAAAAAGCCAGGACTAGTGTTAAATAGATTTTTCTTTATAAACATAATGACAAAGAGATTGTACAATACCAATTTAAAAAACAATGTGACTACCAGGTCCACTGCTGTCTATCTTGGAGCAAGAGAAGGCTCATCTTAGAAATGATTACCTTTCCTTCCAAGGGAAGAGAACATGACCCTGGAAAAAATTTCTGAGTATTTATCTGGCTAGAGATCCAGGTTGTTCGATCCAAATGGTCCCATCATAATCCTTTTCTCCCGGGCACTACGTAGATCTTTCACACATGACGACTGACTTCTGCTTCTTGTGTTTAGGTTGAGGACTGGACTCCGTGACCAGGGATTTGGTGTGTGGGGCCTCACAGGCTGCAGAGAAATATTAACACATGAATGCCTATGCCAAACGTGTGGTCTCATGTAAAGGGTAGACTCAAAGAGAAAGCTTCTTCAGCCACGGTTTATCAAAATACCTCTATGAACTACTATAATAAATAAGAAAATAGAATTTAAGACCTGTCTTCCCCTTGACTCCAGTCAGAAGCCTATTGTGGCAAATATGCCTGAATTTCCCACCCAAGAAGGCTTGGGCATCTGCGTGATAATCTTTGCAGTTAGCCTGCATTTTCTTATGTCTTTACTATTATGCAAAAGTAGCATAGAGTGATGGGACACTCTTGTAGCTATGACTAAAGAGATCTATTCCTAGGATGTGCTGAGGAGGTGGGTTCATTCAGGGTGAACAGTCCTTGGGGATGTAGCACTGCTCTATTTCAACCCCAAAAACCAATGTAGTAATGGCCAGGGTGGGGCTTATACCTAGGGTACAACATCCTCAGGAGTTAGGTAGTTCTAATATCAATCAAGGTTTCTGCATTACTCCATGGACTACTAAGAGGGATGTCCTCTGTGGAGAAAAAAGCCCCTCACACACTGTTGGTAGAAATATAAATTGGTACAGTCACTGTGGAAAACAGTATGGAGTATTCTCAAAAAGTTAAAAATAGAATTACCATATGATCCAATAATTCCACTACTGGATATTTACCCAAAGAAAACAAAAACACTAATTTGAAAAGATACATGCATCCTTATGTTTTTTGCAGCATTACTTACAATAAGCAAGATACAGAAACATCCTAAGCATACATCCATAGACAAATGGGTAAGGAAGATGTGAGATACACCCCCCCCACACACACATGAATATTACACAGCCATAAAAAAAGGATGAAATTGTACCATTGTCAACAACATGGATGCATCTAGAGGGTGTTATGTTAAATGAAATAAGTCAGACTGAGAAACACAAATACCCTATGATTTCACTCATATGTGGAATCTGGTTTTTTTTAAGATTTTATTTATTTATTCATAAGAGACACACACAGAGAGAGAGAGGCAGAGACACAGGCAGAGGGAGAAGCAGGCTCCATGCAGGAAGCCCGATGCGGGACTCCATCAGGGGTCTCTAGATCAGGCCCTGGGCTGAAGGCGGCACTAAACCGCTGAGCCACCCTCAGCCACCCTCAGGCTGCCCTCATATGGGGAACCTTAAAAAGGAAAAAAAAAAAATGAGGAGGCACCACCTGGTGCCTCAGTCAGCAGAGTGAGTGATTCTTTATCTTGAGGTTGTGAGTTTACTTAAAAAATAAAAATAAAAAATTTAAAAATGAGTAAACAAAACCAAAAAATATTTAAAAAATGAATAAACAAAAAGCAGAATCAGACATATAAATAAAGAGGACAGACTGTTGGTTGACAGAGGGCAAGGGGGTTGGGGGGATGGGCAAAATAGATGAATGGCAGTGGCAGATACAGGCATTTCTTTCCATTCCCAGCTCCATCCCACACTGAGAGGACCTTACACATACACATGTGGAGAAGTTTGCAAAGTCTACATTATATATGATTTCAGTTATGTGACATTTCGGAAAAAGCAAAACCATAAAGATAATTAAAAGATTTGTGACTGCTAGGTATTTGTGTGTAGAGGGAAAGATGGAATAAGTAAAACACAAAAGATTTTTAGTGTGGTTAAACTATTCTGTATGATACCGAAATGATGGATTCATGGCACATGGCATTACACATTTGTCAAAACCCATAGAACTATATAGCACAGGGTGATCCTTAATGTATTCAGCTATTAAAAAAATCATTTAGGAGATCGGGGATACCAGGAAGGATGAGACTATGACGAGATAACTGGAACCTCAATATAAATACATATTTTTGTTATAGGTGATGTGATGATGATGAAAAATATTTTCAAGCATAAACATACAGTATATTAGAATAAAATTCTTTGTGGAAGTTATTTCAAAATGGAAATGGAAATTTGTGTCAAAATGATAAACCATTTCAATTTTAAAGAAGAGCTTTATTCATTTTATTTTAGTGGATGATGGTGGGCATCGAACTATTATGGTATGTAGATTCAATTGGATGCATTTAAAAGAGTGATGTAACATTTTAAAGAGTGATGTTTAGTTAAAGTTTAAAATAGCAATATGTAGGGTGCCTGGGTGGCTCAGTTGGTTATGTGTCTGCCATCAGCTCAGGTCATGATCTCAGGGTCCTAGGATCAAGTCCCAAGTCCCGCTCTCTGCTCAACTGGGAGTCTGATCCAGATTCTCTCTCTCTCCCTCTGCCCCTCCCCTGTTCATGCACATTCTCTCAGATAAATAAATAAAATCTTTTCAAAAAATAATAAAATAGTAATGTGTAAATGCTGGAATAAATTAGATCCTTTTCATCTATTTAAACTTAAAACAAAAACACTTTTTATTTATTTATTTATTTTTAAAGATTTTATTTATTCATGACAGATACACACAGAGAGAGAGGCAGAGACACAGGCAGAGGGAGAAGCAGGCTCCATGCAGGGAGCCCAATGTGGGACTCGATCCAGGATCTCCAGGATCAAACCCCGGGCTGAAGGCAGCGCTAAACTGCTGAGCCACCAGGGCTGCCCCAAAAACACTTTTTTAAAAGATTTTTTAATTTATATTTTTCCCCTCTCCCCCCAGATTTTTTTTAAAAATTTAAGTAATCTCTACACCCAACATGAGTTCATGAGTTTGAACTCATGACCCCAATATGAAAAGTCACATGTTCTACCAACTGAGCCAGCCAGGTGTCCCAGAGTGAAAATACTTCGGATGTCAATTTCAAAAGGCAAAGAGGTGATACAGCTCTTCACAATTCTTTTAGTGGGTATATGAACAGGAGAGTTGGAAGTTCAACATTCTTTTTTTTTTTTTAAAATATTTATATATTTATGAGAGACACAGACTGAGAGAGAAAGTCAGAGACATAGGCAGAGGGAGAAGCAGGCTCCTCACGGGGATCCAGTTGTGGGACTCAATTCCGGATCCCGGGATCATGACCTGAGCCTAAGGCAGGCGCCCAACCGCTGAGCCACCCAGGCGTCCCAGAAGTTCAACATCCTAGATAGCATCTTTCACGACTTACATCAGGATTTGGCAGACTTTTTCTGTAAAGGGCCAGTTAGTAAATATCTTAGGTTTTGGGGGTCAGTTTGTCTCAAAAGTACTTCATTACGCTGTTGCAGCATAAAAGTAGCCACAGACTCTTTGTAATGAATGAATGTGGCTGTGTTCCAATATAGGTCTATTTGTGGGCACTGCAATTAAAATTTTATATATATTTTATGTCACAGGATATTATTCTTCTGATTTTTTCAACCATTTGAAAATATAAAAATCATTCCTAGTCTACTGAGTGTATAAAAACAGGAGAGAGGGGGCAGCCCGGGTGGCTCCGCGGTTTAGCACCACCCTCAGACGGGTGGTGGGGGGTGGGGGGTGGGGGGGGTGGTCCTGGAGACCCAGGATGGAGTCCCACGTCAGGCGTCAGGCTCCTTGCATGGAGCCTGCTCCTCACTCTGTCTGTGTCTCTGCCTCTCTCTCTCTTTCTTTCTGTCTCTCATGAATAAATAAATAAAATCTTAAACAAAAACAAAAACAAAAACAAAAAACAGGAGACAGGCTGGCTTTGGTTGGAAGGATACAATTTGTTGACTCCCGATTTACAGTGATTTGGAAAATTAGTCTTACAAATTAGAAACTCAGCAGTCTCAAAGTTAGATTGTAATCTGTCTCATGTTTGCCAAAGCAAAGGCCTAGTCATTGAGGCCTTAAGCAAAATAAATCAGTAATATATAAAGTAAAATGTGAAAGTTCTATTGCCAATAATCCCATTCCCAGAGACAACTTCTGCCTTCAGTTTGGTATATATCTTTCCAGATATTCAGCTGTGCAGATACATATGCACATAATATATATGGTTTTAAAGAAACTAGGGAGCTTGACTGGCTCAGTCTGCAGAGCATGTGACTCTTGATTTTGGGGATTGAAAATACAAGCCCATGTTGGGTGTAGAGATTACTTAAAAAAAATTTCAATAAATAAACCATATATAAATGTATATAGTTGTGGGTTTTTTAAAGATTATTTATTTATTTAAGAGAGAATGAGAAAGAGAGAGAGTATGTACACATGAGCAGGGGGAAGGATTAGAGGAGAGGGAGAAGCGGACTCTCTGCTGACAAGAGAGCCTGATGTGGATCTCGATCCCAGGACCCTGGGATCACGATCTGAGCCAAAGCAGATGCTTAACCAACTGAGCCACCCAGGCATCCCTAAATATTTTATTTATTTATTTATTTATTTATTTATTTATTTATTTATTTATTTATTTTTTTAAATTTTTATTTATTTATGATAGTCACACACACAGAGAGAGAGAGAGGCAGAGACACAGGCAGAGGAAGAAGCAGGCTCCATGCACCGGGAGCCCGACGTGGGATTCGATCCCGGGTCTCCAGGATCGCGCCCTGGGCCAAAGGCAGGCACTAAACCGCTGCGCCACCCAGGGATCCCTAAATATTTTATTTATAAGTAATCTTTTCACCCAACATGGGGCTCAAACTTAAAACTCCAAGATCAAGAGTTGCATATTCTACTAACTGAGCCAGCCAGGGGCATATGGGTGAATATTTTAAAGAATAGATTCCCAAAAGTACAATTACTTGGTTTAAAGACATTCACATTTTTATATTGATGAAGTCATCCAAAAATTTATACTAGGGTTTCTCAATCTTGGTACTATTGACATTTGGGCTGAATAATTCTTTGTTGTAGGGCTGTACTGTACACTGTAGAACATTTGTTAGCATCTCTGGCCTCTACCAGTTATATGCCAGTAGAAACTCCTTTGTTGTAACAACCACAAAAATGTCTCTACACAACACCAAATGTCCCGTAGGGGCAAAATCACTGGGTTGAGAACCACTGCCCTGGACATTTTTACTTTCCTTTTATTTCACTTTTATTTCACTTCTT